CCCGAGGCCCAATGCAGCCCGGGGGGAGGGGGAGTGCTGCTGATGGCAGCCAGCGTTGTCCCGACCCTGCGGGACAGGGAGGCAAGGCCCGACGCACTCACACTTCTCGCAGACCATGGCGATAGCAGCCGCTGCGACGGACAGGTAAATACTGACAACTTCACTTCCCGGCGCGTACTTCCTGTTCCGCCCCCGGCCCGGCCCTCGCGCGGATTGGCCGCCACGAGCCGCCCATCACCGGCCGGCGCCTGCGCACGGATCGCCACCCGTGGGGGAGGGGGTGGTGGTTGGTAACCTTTGACCTCCGGCTTGAGGAGCGGCGACGCGGGGGAGACGCAGGTGAGAGCGGGGCGGGCAACGGCCGGGACACCCCCTCCCCCCTGCAACTCGTCCCCACGTACCCTGCCTGTGACATGAGTGTCGTGGTGATGCAGGCCTGGCCTGGCATGTGCGTAGGCACGGAGGCACACATGTATACTCACACATACACGTGCGTGTATGTACATGTGCTAGTGTGCACACGTGGATTGCGTACATGCACATGTAGGTATACACCCACATGCACACACACATGCTTACACATACATACACCTGCACACACTGTACACCTGAACAGATGCACATATGCGTACACACACTGCATACACGCACATGTATGTATACACACGTGCAGCTACGCATACATGCGTGTATACATATATATGGGGAGTCTCTGACCAGCAGAGACTCCCCATGCCTGAAGAAGGGTGACTGTGCCCCAAAGCTTGCCAAAAACGTTTTTCCAACCAATCAGTTGGTCTAATAAAAGATATCACATCTACTCAAAGAACCTAGCCTACCTGCATGCACACACTTGCACACACATGGATGCCTCACGCCCATGTATGCATACACATACCTACATGCATACGTGTACATACATGCACACACATACATACACACACACCTGCACATGTATGCATACTTGCAAATGCTCCTGTACCTATGCATACCTATGTACACATCATCCATGTCCTTGGACTGGGAGGCTGTGGCCTGGCGAGGGTGCCCATCCGTGCTGCCAGCCTCACACCAGCACTCTGTCACCAAAGCGATGTTGGGGAAGCTCTGGGGGCTTCCTCATGTTTTCAACCACAGCAGTGTTCATGGCATTCGGAGCAGGTTCCTCCCCCACTCACTCCCCGCCTCCTGCCAAAGTGCACCTTTCAGCCCTGCAATTGTCCTGCCCACTGAAATCGGGATTGCCAGGATTCCCTGCAAGGGCAGGTGGACTAATGCCGTAGTCCCTGGCTGCTCAATATCTGGCCTGCAGGCCAGATCTGATCCCCAGCACTGTGTCTTCTGGCCCGTGGGGCTCTCTGCAGATTTGTGGGGAGCCCTGTGGGCCATGGCCAAGTGCATTCAGTCAGGGGTGCGGGGCCTGATGTGGGTGTGTAGGGTTGGGTGGTGGTGGCATGGGACCCTAGGGCCCAGCTAACATATGGACATGTGCCACTCCTTTGGCCTGTGGTCCCAAAGCATTGAGCATCACTGTTGGAGCCTCTTGATTTCTTTTGATCTGTGTAGAGTGGGAGACGGTAATAGTTAAAACTGAACACCCTGCCCCCAGAACCAAATATTACTGCATGCTATAAAAGTCTGTTGTAGAGTCAGAAAGCAGTAGAGAATCTCTCCAGTGAGAAATATTACAAGTTTTTTCCATTTCCTCCATTTCATGCTAGTGCAGCCTGTGAAGATGGATATAATCATTAACACTTATGTTTCAGTATTACTGTGGCCTGAGGTCAGGGGGTGGGGGTGAGTTTGGTTTGTGTAGAGAACGAAACAGGTCCGTTTTGGTTCTAGACATTTTCTTTCTGTGAGAGCCCACGGGAAGCAAAACATCACCATGTTAGGTTTTCAAGTTCTGCATATGATTGCTGTATACAGTATAAACTGCTTGCCACATGGGCAGATAAGGTAGGCAGCCATTTGACAGCTTTCATTGATTTCAATATTAAAGGTACTTTTTAAGCTGATTTAAAGGCTGTTGCTAATTCTTGTGGGATAAGCGTGCTGTCAGCTTTTCACACCTCAATAATGCTAGTTATATTGTTACTTAAAGTACCTTACCTGCTAATAGCAGTCTTGAAATTAACAGAAACTCCCCAGGTTCAGGGCTCGTCAGCAGTTGAAACAGGCCAACTGAGGGATTAACTGTTCACCTTGCATATTGGGCAGTTTCCTGGTTGCCAAATACGCCCTCAATATGCAGCTTAGCCTGTATGTGAAACTTCCCAAAGTATTTTTACTGTTGACCTGCCATTAGTCTCAAAATCAAATGCATTGGAAGAATGCCAGGTAGTCCATGTAAATGTTTAGCTCAACAAGCTTTTAAACCACTAGGTGTCTGGCTGCTGGCTTTTGATTTACAAAACTTTTTTGGGTACAGTTGGGGTGGTGGTGTAGCCATCAAGGTCAAGGAAAAATGTGAGGGGCAAAAATTTTTGTGGGTGACAGTTACTGGGCCATACAGAAAAGTTTTCAAGTATAACAGGTCTGGGAGGAAGGGTACTACATGCCCAAAAGCTTTTCTTTATGACTCCCAACTATACAGTTGGTCCCATAAAAGATATTACCCACATGAATTCTTGACCCTCCTAAACTTTCTTTGCAGGGGAACATCTGGATTGCCCCTAAACTGAGTTTGCTAATTAACAAGAGACCACAATTTGTTTTACTACATATTTTAACTAGGAAAAATAGTATCTTCTAGTACCACTTATTTTTTAATAACTAACTAAAATTTGTTTTTATAGGGTGAATATTCAACAAATAACATAATGAAAGATACAGAAATAAAGAAACTCCTCTTTGCCCACATTTTCTGTGTGGTTTCCATTATTCTGTCAACTCTCATTCCAGCTTTCTTCTTGGAGAATTTCTCAGTTTTGGGAACACACCTTACCTGGTTGTGTATTTGTTCTGCTTGTGTCACTACTGTAAATGTATTTTTATATATAATAGTAAAACCAAATCCATCTTCTAAGAGAAGTTCATTTGCTCACAAGGTAAGACTTTATACAGTTAAGTTAACACTAAGGGCATTTAGGGAAAACTGAAGAACTGACTTTTTGTACTGAAAGAACCAAGTGGGAAAATGAAAGAGCAAAATAAATTCAAGTGTTGGTGAAGTTCTGGCTCAGTGTAGTACCTTCTGAAATGGGTTTTTAGTTTTCACAGTTGCTAAACTTTCTCTCACACCTAAAAGCATGCAGATATACAGTATTTCTTAGCCTGTCTTCTAAAAGTATTTTAGACTTTCTTTGAACCTTCAACAGACTTCACTCTAGGAAAAGTCAGTGTGGGTACAGAAGATTGCATGCCTGGAGCTCATTGTAGAGTCAGGGCTGAAGCCAGCATTATAAAGATATCTCTCCACATCTGAAAGTTGTCAATAGGTATCAGTAATCTAAGGGAGAAAAGAGCATTGAATCATTTTTAAAAGAACTTCACAAATGATTGAATGAAGGTAATGTTTAGCAAACTTGAATGTTCAATACGGTTAAAATGGACAGTTAGGCCACGTCCACACATGTATGGATGTTTGTTTCCCTGGGGACAACTAGCAGTGGGACACCTTGTGCCACTGCTAATTGTCCCTGGGGAATATGCATGTTATGCATGCTTCAGCAAGTTACCACAGGGGTGGTAGGGGAGTACTGGGCTGTCCCAAGCAACCTTATCTGGAGTCCTAGGGGCCTCCTGGGGCTGCAGCAGTGGCAATTTTGCTGCAGGGAGCTTGGCTGGCATCCACAGTGTGGTTCTGGGTGGCCCGGCTCCATTTTTGAGTGGTGCGTGTTGCCTGCGAGTATGCTGTTCCATTTTTTTCTCTGTGGATATATGCAGATATTCAGTGGTCAAAAAAAAATCCATGCTGCCCCCTTGTAGCGTGGAGAGGAACTGAATGTGCAGTCTGCAACGCCACATACCGCATGGCCACGCTTGTCTGGATGCAGTTTTAGTGTCATTTGAACAAAAACATCAGTACCCACAAGCATCTTCATTTCGAAGAAGGCATTGCATATTGTAGTTTGCAGTTTGTGGTACTGGGAGTGGAACACAATCCAGAACCCAACCAAACTAGGGCAAGGGAACAGAAAAGTAGCTCAAACACTTTTTTTTTCAGTCTTCCCTGCCTCTATCGCTGAGCCAAAGGACTAGTTCATTGGAAACTTAATGGTTTTCAGACTTGGACAAGCCAGACATTTGAAGGCAATACGTTTGTGCACAGAATGTCTGGTAAAGCACTCATCTACTGAACTAGTGCATTTTCCTATATTGATCCTGCCCTCCCCCTTTATGCTATGTGAACGATTCTAATAAATAATGTTAAATGTGCAGAGGAACTAAGCTGAAAAACAGACTTTTTTTCCTCATTTACCTTTGCAGTTGTAGTCATTGCGATCATTGGATCTACTACTTGTAATAAGAGTGCAGTAGACAAAACAATTTCAAACCAAGAAGAGTTTATTTTTTTAAAGTTATTACTTTAAAATAATCAGGGCATCTTGCATACTAAATATGTAGTTTCAACCAAATGATTATGCAGTTAATTAGTTATATATTTGTAGAATTTAATATAGATGATTACCCTGATATTTTATTAAATTATTTTTTCCTTTTTTCAGATATCTAGGTTTCTAAAATGCTGCATATACTTCTTCATGTCTTGCATAGTGTTTCATGGAATTATTGTCCTTTATGGAGCACCATTAATAGAGTAAGTCTGAAAACCATATCTTCACTTAAGATCATTAAGATCTACCTCTCCTTACAAATGCTGGTATAACAGCTTTTGTTACCAGACACTTGAGACTGTCTGGTCTCTGGAGACACAAGACTAGAGCCCATGTATGATCAGTGCCTGTTTTGCAAACTTAGACATAGAATTAAGGTACAGCTACAAGTCCCTTAATAATTACCATTTAGGCACAAACTTAAGGTACAAGTTACAGTTTTTTTGAGTATCAGCACCCATTTCAGAAAGAAGGCAAGAGACCAATCTACTGCCTGCCTTTTTGTTGTTACATCCCAGAAGTACAAGAATAAACACTTATTCCAGCACCTATGTAGCTATTCACAACAGCAAGCTACACCAGCTGGAGACACTCAGGAGGGAGGTAGCTTACAGATTGGCAGATCTTTTTGAATTTGCTGAGTTCTTCAATTTTGCCTCTAGTCTATACCTTTTACTTATAAATGGCTTGTTCTAATAGTCTAATAAACATTTTTTAGCCCAGTACTGGTGTCATTGACCAATGGACCTTGTTCCATATTTCCAGGTTACTGCTCATTGACTATATGTTAGGCACTTCTAGCTGTATAAGCCTCAGCACATATTATCTGTAGTTTAGGCTTATGCTAGGTCCACAGTCTACTGGTCAACATGGTGTTTTGGTTACCGTATCTGTGGTCTACAGTTTGGGTGAACTCCTGAATCAGTTGAAGTTTATGTTAAAGTTCTTATTGGTATCAATAGAGACACGATCTCTTTATATATATTTTGAGGTAGAGATGTAGATTGAAAACAGACAAGCAACTCACTTGATTAAATCTTTTATTTATAAACTCTGTGGAAAGTGGTGAAGTGAAAAAAATGCCTGGGAAGGTTATTGTTGCTGTAGTTGTATAAACATTTATGTCTTTTCTTTTTCTATTTTAGAATTTGGGATGTAAGGGTTGGGGAAAAATTTCCCTGAGGTCTTTCTTGGCTGCTATTGGAAAGCTGTTTTGAATTGCTGAGTAAGGATGACATCATGTAGAATGATCTCATGATGTTGTTTCACAAAGTCAAACTAGAGTGAAGAAAGGAGTAGGAAAGTAAAGCCAGTGGGTCAAAGGTAAAAAGTGGCTTTCAGGTAATAAACCATTGAGATGAGCTGTTACACTTCATATTTTGTTTAGGGGGTAAAGACAATACAGAAATATTATGTTCATTCTTTTCTTGCCTGCATTCCAGGGGCTGAGGAGAGAAAAATATTTTTTTACAGTAATTTTAGGATAGCATACCTATTTTTTTGCAAATTGGGCATTTTTCTGAAATTTAAAACTGCTGAGTCTGCTTTAGTTAATTTATGTTTCTTACCCTCCTTTGTAGGTCAGTGCTTGAGACATTTTTGTTTGCAGTCCTTCTATCTACATTTACAACTTTGAACTGCTTGTGTATGCTAGGACCAAATATCCAAGCATGGATAAAGGTATTCAGTAAAAATGGGTAAGTTTTATTTCAAATTTTCTCCTTTTTTTGCTGGGATGTAAATAGTTGGGATTGCAATATGCAACTTACCATGGAATTTATTATAAAGAAAATAAAGCTTCTTTAATGAATTTAGAAGTAATCATTTTATGAGTTAAATTGATCACAGTTTAAATTAAGGGTTTGTCAGTTTTCCTCCTGACAAATGTCCACATGACACAGTTGATTAGTGAGCTAGCTTTTAGTTTGTGATTAGAATCTGATTTTAAATGAGTTTTGTTCCAGTGGTTATTTACTATTGGTACAAGACCATTGCACAATTTGATACGATTAGCACCCATCTGACAAGAGCCTGTGACTGAACTGTGTGGAGTAATCATCATGTATATCAGCTGGTAGTCCCTCACTCCATAAACATGGCTAGAAGATGGGGAGGGACAGAGGATGGGAGCTGTTTCAAAGTAGTCATAGATTAACATTGGAAAAAGATGGCTGAACTTTGATCCAGGTAATCTTTGCCCATAAGCAATCTTCATCAAATATTCTGGAAATGTGTTTGCAGGGTAGGAAAATTAAAAGGAGTTCATCAAACTTTAAAAAAAATGTGATCTTAAAATGAAATCAGGCTTGTTGTGTAGTGATATACTATAGGTCAACAATCAGTAACGTACAATGCTCAGAGCCTCTTGATCTTGCCTACAGACCCTGGCAGCATTTTGACTGTGGGAAGTTTCCACCTGGTAGCGGGGAGCCGTGGTAGCTTTGTTGTGGGGATGGGAGAAGTGGTTTCATCTCTGGTTTTGGCTCCAGCTGTGATAGTGCTGGCCAGTTTGAAAGCAGCCTGCACTTGGAAGAAAGCTCTATTAAAGTAGCCCTCTCCTGCAACATGCTGCCAACCCCTGCTGTAGGTAATTACATAAGGCTGCACTGAGGACCTTTTAAATTCAGGTGGAAAGCATAATGTCCCCCCTACTTCTCTATTGCCCTGGTCAATAATGGAGGCATTGAAATCTAAAAAAGCCACTTTTAAGCTAATGGCTTTTGATGCATTCATTTTTACTAGGTTAAAGTCTGATCTCAAGCAAATGTAAAAAGTAGCATAATTCTGGTGATTTAAGTCAGGGGTGTCAAACTCGCCTTGTGCCTCATCTGGACTGCGGAGCTACTTGTGCAGGATCTGGCATGGGGCAGTGGTGGTGGAATTGGCAGGACTGTCAGCAGTAGGACAAGCGGCCGTGGGACCAGTGGCTGCAGAGTGAGCCATTTTGTGTTGGCACAGCTCTCACTCGCCCTCCTGTAGGTAATGGCCATGCCTTCCAGGACCCAGAGGCCTCAGATTCTGTGACAGGCCATGCCCTCACTTCCAGTAGCCTTTCAGTAGCTCTCTGGGCCAGATGAAGTAAATCCATGGGCCAGATTGAATTTGCAGGCTGTATGTTTGACATCCCTGACTTAAATGGTTACTTATGACTTACATCAACAGAAAATCAGAATTAGGAGTCTATGAATAATAGTTATATGCACTCATTTTTATATTAATAATAGAATGTGAACTGGGAACCAGTATTGGGATTTATTGTTTTGTGCAAAGGAGACTGAGTCAAAGATCCCTATTCATGTCAGTGTCATAGGCTTTTTCTCTTTTCATTTTAAAGAGTGGATAGGGGAATAGAAATTAAACTTTGTGAGATTTAACAAAAAATGTGAAGTTATTTTTTATCCAAAATAAAGTATGGATAAACTGGTTAATCCAACCCATTGTGCTAGGAGGTTTTACATCTGCAATTAGTGGGTGAGATTGTATAACATGTATTCTACAATAATCTCCTTAGTTGTGCCAGTTTTAACTCTGTTCCTTTCTTTCTTAGTCAAGCTCTTAATGTTGCTTGAATGTAATTTGTTGCACGGTTTTTAATATGCAACTTGAAGGAGGCAATTTGTCTTGCTTTGGCACTTTCTCTGGGGCAAACTGTCCCTGCTTCAAAGCATCTGGTCAGGCACCAAATGTTATCAAAGAAAGATGAGTATTTCATTTAACATAACAAAGCTGATTTGACTTTGATCCTCCAAGTGTTTTCTATTGACCTAAATGCATTCAAGCCAGTTTCTTCCTAGTTGTGCATCTCAAAACCAGTCCTGCAGGATACTGAGTGGTTCTTCAGAGATGCTTAATTCCCATTGTTATTGATTTTCAGGTGTTCACTGCTTTGCAAATTCATTTATGAATTAAGTTAGGGCCTTGTTACATGGTAAATTTGGGAAGCTTTTGGAGCTCTTAACCCCTGGACTGGTTCCATGTTAACACCTTTTAAATGGTTTAAAGCACTTGTTATTTGTCTTGGAGTTATGCCACTCAAGTACAGGATTATCTCCAAACTGCTTAATGTTGTTGCTGTTCCATTACTGTGTGATCACTTCCCACAGCTATTCTGTCCAAGCTGAAGTCCTCAAGTATCCCATAATGCTCTGAGCGGCCCAATTCTTTTTTCACCAGAGCGCCTGGTAGCCATGGTGCCTCTTGCTACTGCATGGACCAGCTCCACTCCTGCCAGCAGTTGTGAGTGTGGGGCAGGCTCTGCCTAAGCTCTGGAGAAAAAAGGATCAGGCCCCTTGAAGCTCAGAGCTAGAGAGCTCCAGGACTGCAGTCCTGGAGCTCTCTGGTCTCACTGAGACTGACACAGTGGCTCCGCACTGAGAGCAGGGCTGTCAGGGCTTAAACCTGGAGGCCCTGCTTTCGGTGCAGAGCCCCTGTGGCAGTTTCAGTGAGACCAGAGAGCCCCAGGGAAGCTGCTTCCCCTGGTTTTGCTCCAACTGACATGGTGGTGGGTCTACTCTATGCCCAGCTGGAGCCACGAGCAGGTCCTGCTCCTAGTCCTGCCCCTGCTCACCAAGCTTTAGTGGCAACTCACAGCTGTGCAGGTGAAGGACAGTCAGAGCAGGTTTTTCTCCTTGTTGTGCAACTGCTCTACTAAGCCAAATAAAACTAAGCCAATTAACATTTGTTTGGCTCGCAGCATAAGCGCTAACAAGACCCTTATACCATAGGTTTTGGTAATTTAATGCCTCTCTTCTTTTAGAGGTATGTGTACCCTTTCATAATAGCTTAGTTTTTGAAACAACACAGGCAAAATTTCTGCATTGTAAAATAGCAATCAAAGACTTTTTCAGTATTTCCCAATACGCGTGGTGTTCATTGCATGGCATATGTCCAGTGCTCTCAGGCCAAAAATGAAATTGGGTTTTAAAGGTTACATCTGCAGTTTATACGTTATGCAACAAAAAATATATATTTTGGTTTTTGGTACTTGAATTAATAATATTGGGTATAAACTGATATTTTAAAGAATGGGAACATTTCAGTGTTAGCATAATATTTATAGTACCGTTGTGGGAGCCTGGGACCCAGCCCACCAAGGAACCCTGGAAAGGGGAACTCCTGGGGAAACATCCCAGATCATCAGGAAAAACAGTATGGCCCAGGAAGGGCTGGAGATATTTCCTACGTACCTGTAGGAACATTGGCAGTGGCAGCAGACACAGCAGCAGGCACACTTTAGAAATCTGTGCTTGCTGCGCATAGGCTGGTGTGCCAACACATCTGTATATAACTGGATGTCCAGTGCCAGCTGGAGAGAGAGAGGGCACAGCGAGAAGGTAGCATAGCGCTGGAGCAGAGCAGGGGCTGCTTCAGGAACAAAATGCTTCCAGCACAAGTGCGGGAAACAGCCTGAAGCCCGGGAGCTTGGAGGGGCACTCAGCACCTGGTGTACTGGACAGCAGAGAACCGGCAACTACCCCTTTGTGGTAATTGAGATGGTGAGGGAGCTGATCCTTGTGAGTGAAGAGGCCCTGGCAGTTTCATAACAGGGCCCCAGCAAAAATGCTTGGAGGAGCTGGGTTGCAGGGTTAACAAGTGAGTTAGAGAGCTAGTAAGGCTCCAATTGATTGTTAATTCTCCAATTGATGTATTCTTCTTTAATGGAGCTGACTGTGGGGTATTAACTGCTTGGCTGGACTGAGTTAATGAATTGCCTTCAGTCTGATCCGAAGGCAAAAGAAAAATTTCCTTTTGTATCGAGAGGACAGTTAATTAGCCCAGCGGGCATTGGTGGGAGCCAGAAACGCAGCTTTTGCATTGAAGGCCCTGGAACCAGGACCAAGAGACCATGTTGGTGGTCCTGACCCAGCATTAAGTACACAAGTCTCGTTCGGTTTTTTCCACCTAAGTTTGGCTCTAGGACCTCAAGTACTTGGTTGGCGCATGGACAAGGTGAAGGGAAGGCAGGAGCCCCGCAGAGCATCTACAGAGCCACACGCAGAGCCTCATTGCAACAATGAGCCTTCTGCTTAATAAAATTAAGATGTGGAGGGCAAGAACAGAAGGGTGGCTCTCAGGCATATGTGTGTACCAAGGCCAAGCTCTTGGCATATAAGCCCAGGTCTGTACAGGGCTTGGGCTCTTGAGCCTGGCAGTACCGGACCTATCTCCAGTGCTGCGGACAACCAATATTTGCTTCAGTCCAAAATGAGGTTATCAACATGGGGGGGAAAAAAATCTCCTCTTAGATTTGAGTACTGGCTTGGGGCAGGTGGCAGTTCAGTTCTGGCTTCAGCCCTGGGCTTGAGCTACCACCTGCCCTGGGCCAAGATGGCTTGTGCATGGCAAGTGGGGGTGCACAGTGGGGAGAGTGCGGGGGAGACCATGCATTGGGGGCGAGGTAGAGGGCACATGGGAGAGACCTGTGGTGTGTGGCTTGGAGGGATGGAGCACAGGGGAAACCATCCAGCCTACACCCCATCCCACCTGTTCCCACAGTCACTTGTGCCTCCCCCCCTGCTGCTTACTGTTGGCTCTGGCTCCAGCCCCTCCTGTCCTGACCTGGCCAGGATCAGACCTGCTTCTCTCTGGTTGGGCCTGGCCTGGGCCACTGCCATTCCTGACTACCCTGGAGCCAGAGCCAGAGTTACCCAGAAGGTAAGCAGTGTAGGAGCGGTAGGATTGGGGGCAGGCACTGTGG